TATGTATTTTTTATATCTTATGTATTTTTATCTTGACAAGATATATAATCTTTCATAAAAACTATACTTATTCTACAGAATAATCATATCAATTGATTTACCAATTGATAATATATGATATTTTATATGATGTATGAGATATGATATTTTTCAATTTGTATCTTCTTTTGATTTTGAAAACGATAAAAATTAATCTTCAGTCAATCCATCAAAATTAACTGTATCCACATTTCCTTATATTGTATTTATATTTATAAAAAGAATTATATATTTATAAAGAGAAAAAAAAGTACTGTGATAAATATCACTTATAAAACAAAGATAGAATATCAAAATTATAATGAAATACAAAACAATACAAAAATATGGAAAAATATTTAAAAAAAACCACAAATGTTAGTATGAAACAAAAAATCGCGCATAAAAGAATTCTTATATAAAAAGAAATATTCATATTGTGTTATACTTTGTAAGATGTCGATCAATCAAAATTTTAAAATGCAAATATAATGATATAAAAAAAAAGGAATAAAAATGCATAATAAAAAAGATTTAAAAAAAATAGAAGGAAAAAAACTAAAAAATCTTTTCTTTCCATTGTTTGAGAAAAAAAAGAATACAAGAATTTTCGGATATAATTTGATATGTCACCAACATTCGATAATAATATATTATTCAATAAAAATAAGAAAATAAAGCAAATCATATATCACAATCTTGCAAAGTAATAGCATTTACAATATATTTATATTAAATATTAAAGAATGTACAATAAACGTTTGAAAGATATTGATATATATTTGAATGAAAATATTTATTTATAATTTATCATTTATATTTTTTAATAAAAATATAAAATATAATAAGAAAGCGAAATATTTATACGAAATATAAAAAACACATGATGTTTTCCTTATCTTTCATGCAATATTACGAATTTCAAGCTAGAATATTTTCTAAACTAATGATTTTTCGATATAAATGGATACTTATTCCATATTACAATATTACAAATAACAAATTGTATCAATTAATATGTGAAAAATTATTAATTATTACAGAGAAACTAATAAACATAATCAAAAAAATCTTTCAAGTTGATATTAATAATAATTCAATTCATTATTCAAAATTTTAACGATAAAATTTCAAATAGAAATTCAATTTGTATTTAACGAATAACAAATACTTCGAATACAATCAGAAAAACGTAATTAAATCGTCACATTCTGTATTTTGTTATTCATTTATCATTTACATAACTATTCTTAATATTGTTTTAATTATAAATTCTAAGAATAGAAAAAAAATCAATTTTCTCGAAAACAAAAAATCAAATAAATGAGATTGATAAGAAGAAAAAGTATTTTTTTTCTCTCAAAAAATCGAAATTGATCATAAAAAATAAAGATTTAAAATCTATTTATTTTGTGCTCAGAATCTTAAATTAATTTGCAAGATAATCTTTGCAAATTCGATTCAAAATATTTGTTTCGATTAAACCGCAATATACATCGAAATATTTATAAATTTTTTATAATAGTTTCAAAATTCATATTTAACATTAATGTGATATGATATATTGATAAAGACAGGTAGTATAAAAGAAATCAAAAAGATAATGAAATATCTATAGACCAAAAAAATTAATTGTAAATATATAAAAAATAATAAAAAATTAATTATAAATAAGAAAGAAAATTATATTCATAAATTTAATGAATAGAAAAAAATGATAAAGAGTTAATAAAAAAATACTGTAAAAGAAATTAAAAAAAATTCAAGAATAAGTTGTTTAAATATTACAAATGAGCACGATGTAACATCTTGTACATGAGATTAAACTAAATTAAACTAAATATTCAAGCCCTCAAAAATAGCAAATATTTCCATTCTTATTATAAACTTTGGAATATCTTGTTTTAAATAAATATCCTGACTTTTTTTCAAATGTTAAATATTTTTTACTCGTGTATTTTTAGAGTAAATATTGCGTTCATCTTTTGTTTTCATACAATTGCGTAAAGAAAATAAATAAACAGAAATGAAATAATCAATTATAAGCTTTTCGACAATTCTTAGAAAAATAAATGATTTTAGAAAAATATTTGAATATTAATATTGCAGATGTTTGTTATATTTCAAATCAATTACTTTATAAATAAATTGTTTTTAAAAATTTTTTAAACGTACACGAAAAATATAGAAAATGTTACTTTTGGATATTCAAAAAATATTCAAAAGATGTTGACACAGTATATCTTAAATTGGAAATTGAATTTTTTTTACAACGAAGAATTTAATTTCAGGATTTGAAAATATAAGGATCACAATCCTTAATAAGGATCACAATCTTTGAAATATTTTCCTAATATCCAGAACGAATGTTCTTTATAAAATTTATAAAATATTGTTTATATTTCTGATTCTATATATAATAATGTTATTTCATTTTTATTTCATTTTTTTTTTTTTTTTTTAGATATTGTATTTCTTTATACTTATAGTTTTATACTCGTATATTTATATTCTTATAGTTTTTTACTTGTATTAAAATAGAAAAATATCTTTTTACGAGTTTCACGAATAGGAAATAGTAAATATAATTTTTAAAATAATTTTTATAATTTTTATAATTTCTGGAATATTGAGAAATATTTTTTAGAATATTTTTCTGCTTATATTTCATGCACTGTTTTATGTATTTTTATGACATCATTATATTATATTATAATAATAATATTAAAAATTGTAAAAATTAAGTAAAAAATTCTAATTCATTATTTACATATTTTTTTTATATTTTTATGCAAATTCATGCTAACTTACAATTTCATCATATACTTATTAATTGAATGAAATGATGTAACGTAATTATATTTATTATTAATTAATATTTATTGTTAATAGATAACAAGAAGAAAATTTTTTAATATTATGTTTTTAAAATTTAAAAATATTAATATTTTTAAAATTATTTTATATTATGATATTTTATATCTTATTGAAAAATTATTTGAAAATAATGGAAGCGAATTAATTATTGCGATATGGTTATAAAATATATTATGAATGAACAAATTTAGAAATTCATATACTCGAAAATATTTTTTTATAATTAGACAAAAGATTTTATAATATAAAATAAAATTTATAATTTTTATATAAATTCCTTAAATATAAATATTAATATATAAATATTTTATATATATCAAGTATATTATATAATATTATATATTATGTATATTATATTATTCATAATACATATGTATATATCTGTTATATGTATTTTATTGTCATATAAGATATCTTCAGAAATCATGATATTGAAAATCTTTGTTTACCTAATTCGATAGACATTATTATTCTGTTTGTTTATAAAATATTGAATATATACTTTCATAATATATCGCGCATAAATCATAACCATATTTTTTTCTTTTCAATAAAACTTGTTTGATTATAACATTAATTTAATAATATTATAGTTTTTAAATATAAATTTCTTTATTTAATATTTTATAATTTATAAAATTTCAAAATATATAAGCAATATTTTAATTTGAATTATATTTATTTATATCTGTTAATAAAATATTAATAATATATTTCTAAAATATCTTTGGAGGATCGAAATCGAAATAAAAACATATAAAAATTGAAAATATATATGAAAATTTGATAAATATTGATATATATTGATAAAGTTTATTTATTTTGCTATAAGCATTAAGCAAGTTTAATAAAATACTTTATTTAATATCATTAAATAAAGTAAATTAAAATAGAATGAGCTTCATCTCTATCAAATTGCTCTATCTTGCTCTATCTTATTGCTCTATCTTTGTTTTGCTTCATTTAACAATTGTTTATAACAAAACAAATGAATCTTAATCGATATTCTTTATATCACTTTTTATGTTTATTTAAAATTAAACATCTATTACAAATATAAATACACTGTATATCTGTATATATATATATATATATATGTATATATATATACATAATATTTTATAACGAATCAGTAAACATTAATTACATTTATAAATATCAATTTAAATTTAAATTTTCGATTAATATTTACAATTAAAAAAAATTAGTAAAACTAATGAAAAATTTTGTAATAATTGATTTAATCAACTGATAAAATTAATCATTAATTTTATACTTTATAATGAACTATTAATTATGCATTACTAATTAAATATATTATTTTGAACCATTTAATTAAAATTTTATTTGTAATATTATAAATGTAATATTATAAATATATATTATTTTAAATAAATATTATTAACATAAATAATTTTTCACAAATTTCAGATTAAAAATATTTGCATAATATATATGAAAATTTTTATCTCTTATATTTGATATTTATATGAATGTATAGAAAAATTGATATGAACTATTTTTAACTATATTCTTTACTTGTAATTAATATCAAAAAATATTTGAAAGAAAAAAATAATACTTGAAAATTGTACATATAAAATATAATTATATATATATAATTACATACAAATAACATACATATAAATTACATATAAATTATATAAAAATTATATATAAAATATTATTAAAATAAATCATTAATAAATTAAATTTGCTCATAAATACAAATTTAATTATAATTAATATTATATATTATTTTATTATAGGAGATCATAAAAAATTTATTATTTATTTTTGTTAATAGAATTTTTTATCATATATAGTAATTTGAATAATTTAAACTATAATATTGGAATATTATTATTATATATATATATATATATATATATATATATATATAATATATTTAAATTAGAAGCAGATTATAAGACAATTTCTAGAAGATGCAACTTAAATTTTCTAAATATAGACTATTTGAATAATACATATTTTAAATTAATGTTAATTTACATTTTCTTAAAATATATATAACTTTGGTTAAATATTGAAAATATATATATTTTTTTTTAGTTTGAATGTTTTAATAAAAAATATAAACTTACCCAAAGCAGTGTAATAAGGGTCTCGTAATTATTGTCCACAGTGCCATCATAAATCTTAGTGGAAGAAATGTATAAACAAATAAAAAAGAATCTGCACACTGAAATAAAACATTTTTTCTATTACATTATTATTTTTAATATTTTATTTATGTGACTTTGTTACTTTATATATTTAAATATAAATGTAATATATTAAATTTAAAATTTTAAATATATGTAAAAAAAAAACATTAATAATCTTAGAGTTAGAAAAACAACTTTAGAATTAATTTTAAAAAATTAATTATAATATATACTATATATATATATATATAATATTCACTTAAAACCATTTATAAAAGATAATTATATAAATCTTGGATTATTTTATTAATAATCTATTAGAACTATATAAATTATATAAATTCTATTAGAATTATTTTATAATTTACAAAGTATAAAATGATCAAAAAATACTTTATTAAACAAAATATATACTTTATTATACATATATAATATATATATACTTTATTATATATATATAATATATACTTTATTAAACAAAATATTTATGATATACATACTTGTAAAAATCCATAGGCCATAAATTTTTCAACTTCTCTTGGAATTTTCATAAAAGAATAAATTTTCTCTCTTCTTGCAGAAAACCTCTCTTCATCATTTTCTAATTGATAACCTCTTGTTAATTCCGTTTGTAAGAATTGTGCAAGAGAAACACCTGTAATAGAAATAAAAATTTATAAATTATATTTACTATAAATCATATAACAATTAACAAGCATAAAATTAATCATTATTTATGAAATTTTAGAATTATATAAGTATATTAAATAACAATATTAAAATAAAAATATAATGAACATATTATTATGAAGTTGAATGTAAATAAAACATGTAATTGATGATATATATATATATATATATATAATAACTATAATTTATTTTTGAATATACAAATAATTATAAATTATAATTATCATATTTACTTTTAAATATTTTTCCTAAAATAATATTGTTGTATTTTTTAGATATTTTAATTAAACATTATGAAATTGAATCATTTTAATTAAATATTAATTATCTAAAATTAAATATAATTATTTTAAATTTTATTTCAATAATTGTAAAATTCTTTTTCATTTTCTATGCGTAACATAAAAAAAAAAAGATAATTACATATCTTATTATTTAATTATTATTATTATCTATTAATATGTTCTATTAAATTTTAAAATAAAAATTGAAATTTAAAAGTTATTATAAGAAATTATTATAAGTTATCATAAATTAAATTATTTATTTATTATTTTTTCTTTCTAATAATTCTGTAATTAATAAAATTATTATATGTATAAACTTTAATAAATAAAAAATATAATTTATATTTTATTTTAACTTAAAACTTATTTTTATTGATATATAAAATAAAGAAGATTTTTGCAATTAATAACAATTTAATATAGTAATTTTTTTGGTTTTATCTCTTTCTCAAAAAGAAAGCTTTTTAATATATAATATATATACATATTACAAATCATTAAGAAATATTAAGTAGCTTTATATATAAATTTAGTTAGTTATATCAGCAAATAATATTGTTAAAAAATTATTATTAAATCTTATAAATTAAAATATAAATAAAAATATAGAATATAGAATTAGAAAATTTATTATTTTTATCATGATTCTATCATATATTTTTATTTAAAATAAATAGAAATTCAATAATCTATCAATTACTTATACAATTAAAATAAATAATAAAATTTTGTTTTTCTTAATTACAAAATGTCATTCAAAAATTAATAAAAATTTTATTTTATATATAATAAATAATAATAAAAATAATATATAATTATATATAATATATATAAATAATATATAATAATATATTATTTTATATATAATATAAAAATATAGATATTGAATACCTATTCTATATGATTTTATTCGTTAATAAAATATATTATCCAATATATTAAATTTCAAAAATTTGTTATAATATTCAAAAATTTATTATATTATATATACAGCATTTTTGTTATAACCTATTTAATATTTGTATTTTCCAAAATATAAAAAAGGAACTTTAAAAATAGTTACTATACAATTTGTTCATTTTGTTATAATTTATTATAAATTTTAATATTAATATATTTTATTTTAAAAATTACTATAATTTTATAGTAGATTTTATAGTAATTATATACAATAACAATTTCATTTAATATCCATATATTTAAATATATCATCATTATTATATAATTTCATACATCTTAATAAACAATTTAGTAAATAAATTATAATTAAAGCAAAATTACCTTGTTTCTTTTGACGATATTTTCCGACATTTAATTGATTTTTCACATTTTGAATTTTATTACCATGACCATCAGATTGTTTTGTAGATTTAAATCTTATATATTTTTTTTCAGTGTAATTTTGCCAGTTTTCATCGGTATTCATTATTTCTTTTCATTCCTTGTCTGGTTACTGCATAACCTCAAATCTATTATTTCATTAAGTCCGTTTTTAGCTTAAGTTTCTTGTCTTCTATTTAAATAATTTTAATTTTATTTAAGTTATTTTTTATTATTAAGAACTGACTGACTTATTTCGTAAATAATGCACTTGTAATATTCTTCATAAAATATTATAAAGATTAAAATTATACAATACTTACGAATACGAACGTCTGAACTCTCTGACACTCTAAGGCCGTATAATGTACAAATAATATACGAATAATTCTCTCGGCTTCTGTGATCGTTTACGTCTAATTTTTTTATAACTTTGACCCTCACACTTGTGTTTATTTAACTAACTCCTATAGCTTCTCGTTTATATTATACATACTTAATTTGTATTATTTCTCAATATATTCATCATATAGTCAAAATATCGTTGTATTTTGATTTATTATAACTAATAATATAATTTAGAATGATTCAAATTGATTCGAATAAATATTATATGTCATGAAATAAATTTGAATTGCTTTGAACCTTATTCGCAAGTTTAAAAATTCCAAAACTCGAAAATCTTAGAAATCTTAATTATCATTGAAAGTTTTGATCTAAAATTCATTGAAATCTAAAATTTATTGAAAATTGTGATAGTTTTGAAAGTACTAGAATTAAAATTAGAAATCTTAATTATCTTGAAGGTCTTGAAAGTCTTCAAAGATTTGAAACTTTTACTATCTCATTCGCCTACATACTTCTCGCTCTTACCAATGTTATCTGATTCCGGTTTTTTGCCGGCATTTTATTGTGCCGTACATTCCGTAGATATATTACAACAGTGAAAAATAAATAATAACTCTCAAGAATTTCGAATCTTGCAAGATTTTCAAAAATTAAAGAAAATTAATATTATCAAGGCTTTTAAGATGATTAATCGAGATTTTCATGATAATTGAAACTTGTAAAATTTTTAAGAATTTTCTTTGTATCAAATTTGAATTTTCCGCCATTTTAAAAATCGACTTGAAGTTTTCAAATTACATAAGTAACTATATAACATAAAAAACATAAGATTTGTTTAATAAATTAATTATTCAATTGAATAAGTCTAATCCACATACATATAGATTGGTTAACAAAAAAATATCTTTAACAAAAATTGTTAGATAGATAAATACATACTTATCTTTGTAATCAAAAACATATTATCCATTGATTAATATTATATTATATTATATTATAGTAAATAATATTTGAATTTTCATCATTTATATGCAATAATTTTATGTATGTTCGAAATTTATATTATTAAAACAGTATATATTTTATATGTAGAAATAATTAGTAAAAAATATTCGGATTTTTATTTTTTCATTTTCAGTAATATATTTCATAATATATATCTTAGTGGAATTAAAATGATAAAATAATAATATTTATTTTAATCTAAATTTTAATATAAAATATGTGTATGTAATTTTATTTAGAAAATGAAGATGACTTTCACAAATTCTTTACGCATCAATCTTCAAAAATATTAAAAAAACCAAAATGAATTTTAAAACCATTAAATTTGAATTAATTAAAAAATTTATTAGTAATAAAAACAAATAAGATAAATAATAATATTGGCTTTGTTTATAAAAATCAGTTTTTTAATCAAGAATTTCGAAATTTAACTATTTATTCAGATTCTTTGAAATATTATTTTTATGTATTTATAACACAATTTTCTTATCATGTATTTTATAAAAAATACATACATTTATATATATAGAGTATTCTATTATTCCGTTTGACTTATCTAAAAAAATATATAATTATAATTCTTCATAAAAAATCAATAATTAAAGAGTCAAAAAATCGAATTTATAAATTTAACTTTATGAAAACTAATTTTTAAATAAAATTGTATTCTTTATTTTTTATATTTATTTTCATATACAAGACTTTCTATCATTCTAGTTTTATCAATAGTTCATTATCTAATCGATAAATGACTAATTTCACTTATTATTATTATATAAAATTTTTCCAAACTGAAGTTTCAAATAAAAAAATTGTATTTTTTCTTTTCGATTTATTTTTTCACAAAGAACTATTCCTTATTCAATTATATCACAAATTATATCACAAATAATGAGATATTTTGTATATATTCTATTGTGTTTTGACAATATAAATTTTAAAAAGTATATATATATATTACTTATTATTTTTATACATTTTTTTGTGAAAAATATGAATTAAATTAATTTTCTTTAAAAAAAAAATGAAGAAGAATTCAAATATTTTATTAACAATTGTATACAAATTATTTGAGACTATATAATTCAAATTTAAATAGATATTAATAGTCCTAAACAAAACTTGTATAAACCTTGAAATATATAAAAACGCTTTCTAACCGAATTATTAAATTTGTAAACATTTCTTACTACATTTCCACTATACAAGATGTTAATGTATTCGAGGGAAGGTATTTTTGAAGGTTCTAAAAACTAAATTCTAGAGGACAGATACAAAAATAAATATGTGAAAATATCAGTTTCGTCTTATTAATTAAATTATAAGCAATTTAAAAATGTATTAAATGAAGCGAAACAAAAAAATAGATAGATAGAATGAAATAAATAAATAGAATGAAACAGCTTATCTCTGTTATACTATCATGTCACTATGTTTCATTTTATCTAAAACTTATAACTTAAATTGCTTATAACTTAAATAAATATTAATTGACATTTTTGTACAACTTTTTGTTATGGCTTTTAGAATTGATTTTTTATTATTAGAAATATCTTCTATATATTTTCTATTTCAATTTCAAAATTAACAAATTATGAAATATTATTTAAGAAATATAAAATTATAGATTAATTTATTTATTTATTAATATTAATATTAAAATTCAAAAGAACTCGATGAAATAATATAAATATAGATTCTAGAAATTCTTAAAAATTGTTGATTTTTTAATAAATAGTTTATTGCATAGTTTAATATAAACAAAGATCTAGTCTTAGATCAATATTCTATTTTTTACAATATGTTTATGAGTTTTTGAATAGATTATAAATTATATTAAAATTCTTAAGATATGAGAAATTTTTAAAAAATAATATATTTTTTTTTAATATTACAAATATTTTCCTCTCGATTTTCACATTAAATTTTTCAAGAATTAATATGATATATATAAAAGAATTAATAAATATAATATAATGCAATATATTTATTGTATATATAATAATGCTTTCAACAAATTAAAAATTTATCTTTAAATAAAAGGAGAAAAAAAGACATATAATCTTATTTTATTATAGAAGTAATTATTTTTTTATTCATATCTTAAATTAAAATTTCAATTTCTTAAAATTTTTATTCTTTTATTATGAAATACATACAGAATGTTCGAATAAAAAAGAAAATTTAAAATTCTAAGGATTAAAATGAACACAAAAGTTGTTATATAAAAATATTTCTTAAGCTTATTTTCAAGTTATAAGCAATATAATTTTGAACTGAAATAAAGCAAAATAAAAAGAGAAAGTGTGAAATAGAATGATATAACTTTATTTCTATCTTGCTTTAACGAATATTTTTATATACCAACTTATGATTATTTTAATCTCTAGAATTATTCTATAAATTTTTTCTCCATTGTATTCAATACATATTTTTTCCTAATTTTTATTGAATAAAATGTTTATTTTTAATGAAACAATTAAATTTTATTAACATTATTTTTCTTAAATTAAAAAAGTTTTAATTAAAAATTATTTTAATAAAATTTTGACATTTACAATATTTTTTATTTAAAAAAATATTTAATTAAATATTTTATTCAAATAAAATATTTAATTTTTGAATAATTAAAATAATACTAATTAGTAATTATTATATTATATTATGAATATAGAGAATCTGTGAAATTATGTGTGGCAAACCTGGCTGACTCATGACGTCATTTAAGTTTTTGTGAAGCATATTATATGTTAGATATTATGTATGGTAATCCTGTCTCTATTATAATATTGTTTGTAAAGACTTTTTGGCGATATATATTCTTCTTCGCATAATCTCTCGCATTCCATGCAGCATTATAAGCGTGACTATAAATAATGGAATTTATATATTAAATAATGGAATAAAATGCAAAATTAAAATACAAAATATAAAAGTTATTATTATATTGATTACGTTTATTTTAATTTTAATTTAAATTTTAATTAATATTCAAAAGGTAAATTACATATATATACTTTATTATATAATAATTGATATTTTCGAAATATCATTAAAAATTATATTTATGAATATTATGTATTAATTTCAGTATTTCTTATGTATATATATTCGATTTTCATTATTTTTGGTAAGTAGTTATTATTATTTGTAATTATATTATATTACCTTATTTTTTATTTTTCTTATTCTATTATTTTTATTATTTCCCACATTTTCTTAAAAATCTTTTTTATTATTTTTTACCAAATATATATTATTACAACAAATACATAATTTACACTATAATATTATAATATAATATATATTATTATAATATTATTAATTATATATATACTATTATAATATAATTATAAATTAACTTATAAAAATAAATTAAATTATTTTCAATTTTAATTTATTATTTTCTTTAAAAATTGAAGTACATATATAATAAGTACATTAAAATACTCTAAGCAACTTATATTAAAAAACTATATATTTTTATTTTGTTATCTAATTTTTTTTTTGTATTATAGTTAATTTATTTAACTATTTTTAATTCTATTAGTAAATCTTATTATACTTTATAAATTTTGTTACAATTTTAAGTTAAATATATATAAAACTTAATATTTTCATATATAATATAAAATAAAGAAATTATAATATAAAATTTAAAATAAAATTTGACTTTAAAATTTTTGTATAATTTATGTTAAGCAATATTATTTTTTTTTTAATTTTGATTCTCTTTAGTTATCACATATAAAATTTATATAAATTAAATAAATATAAAATTTTTTATCTTTTATATAACTTTTTTTTTTAATGTTATGTATCTCTTTATTTAATATTATAAAATACGTAATATATATTTCTATTGATAATTTTGTCTTTCATAATCTTAGCTTTTTAGAATTCTATTTAGTCTTCTCAGTTTCTTGCTTTTTATGTTTTTTTTCTCTCATTCTATATTTCTTTTCCATCTTTAATTTTTTTAATCCATAATATTTTAATATTAATCCATGTTGATTTCTTTTTTGCTTTTTGATTATTTTCTTTCTTGTCCTGTGTTCTTTTCTTAGAGTCCCTCTTTTTTTTATTTTTTTCTCTTTTACTGATTTTTTTCTAGTTTTTTCTATTCTTTTTTCTGAAACTTAAATTATATTATTTATTTCTCCTATATTAATTTATATTTTTTTTTTCTTTAAAATTTTTCCTATTTATTAATTATTTTAAGTAAAATTACAAAATTATTATTATACG